AATCTTTCATTTCTTTGTGTGTAAAACACACAAAAAAAAACAGACCATGTATGTAATTAGCAGTACGAAAATCGTAAAGTGCCTCTAAACAAATTGATTATACAAAGAAAAGCATATAATTTAGCCGAATATGAAATATATTTGCGTATAAAAACCTTAATGAGTATAAAATGTAGCCCGTCTAGGCATTATTCGTGTAAATAACTTCATAGTGAATTAATTAATGCCTTTGGACACGAAAAGCATATCATTTTCAATTAGTTCCGTCGTTCCAAATTTAAATTACCATATAGTAAGTCAATCATCATCCATAATCAATGAAAGCGATTGAATTTTACCCGAAGCCATTTTTATCTCTTCGATATTTAAATTCTTTCATTTGTTATTTAGGTCAACAATCCGTTATTTAAGTTATAAATTTGGATAAAGTGAATAATTCTATATAGGACAATTGGTTCACCTACCTGAATTTAAGTTTCGTATATTTAATGTAATTAAATTGGTTTAACGACTTGAAAAATTATTTTAGTTAATGAGCCACGAAAACATAAAACAAATTTATTTTTATATTTATTTGTCTCTTACGTAATGTTTTAATTGCATAAATTGTTGAACAATTTATTTTTATTTTTAACACGAGAGAATTTTCAAATTAAAACTTGAAAACTGCGCTATGATTCATGAACAAAATTTCAGTTTTTATGCTTTATTTTACATAATTAAATTTGAGGCATTTAGTTTTCTAGTTAAATTGTCGTAAACTGGATTTATTTTCTATTTCAGTGATAAAATAAAATAAATTTAAATAGGAGTAAGATAAATAAAAAGAATATAAAAAAAAGTTGAAAGGAAAGTAATTAATTTAATTTAATTTATATAACTGTAAAGCAATAATGATAGTTAAATATAAATTCTTTTACAATAAATATAGTAATTGAGCTATTAAAATAAGTTTTATTTTATACACTTTTAAAAATAAGAATGAACATTTTGTCGAATTGAAATTATATATCAAATGTAGTATATTTATATGTCATTAAAGTCAAACTTTAATGTCTATAAAATGCACTGTATAGTACTGTGCTGTATATAAATAAATAAATACATACATCTGTAAAAATATATTAAATATATTTTTATATTATACATAATATTTTTATAGCTATAAGAAGATACATAGAAACTTTGCGATTTCGTACAAAAATATAAAACTTATTACAAAGTTACAAGTATCGATCTAAAAAATCAGTAGTTCTGTTTTATTTGATATATAAACATAGTACTACATTAATAATTACACACAACGTGTAATAGATAGATTAATTAATGGCTTCGATTTATTTTCTAAACAAACTCTTCCATTTTATAACGTAAAAAAAAATCTATTTTACAAATGTCTAGATTAATTCTTAAAATCAAAAAATAAAAATTATTTTTGAACAAATAAATTCGCTAATATAAATATATTTCTCGGTTTAATTAAATTAAGATAAAATTATTTTTTATGATATAGACTAACTTATAGCAAAAAGTTAAAGCTACGCGGTCTATCCTTACTTAATTTTAGATAAGTGAATAAAATTATTCAGAAACTAAGCTAAGTAAATTCATTCTTATTCAAAATTTTTAAAAGGCCTATTTATAAACAATATCAGATTATAGTGATTAAATATTAGCTCTTATTAAGATAAGAACTGAATAAATATTTTTAAGTAAAAGCATAAATTTTTTTATAGACCTATCGGTTCTAACTTTTTTCCTTAGCCTATATGTTTAGCAAGTGCCTATGTTCTGTATGTATTGTAACGTGTTCTATACTTTAAAAAACTTCTTCGAAATAAAGTTGTAGATTATATTTAATTTTTTTTCAATATATTTTGAGGCCTATATTTAAATTTAAAATTCTACATTAATTAATACA